GCAGAGAAAAAAAAAAAAAAACGAAAATTTGGGGGGGGGGGGGAGGTTTCTCTATAATTCGAGCTATTTATTCACGAAACTTAGACTGTATTTTTCCCGGAATTTTCCGTCCGATTTTCTTGGCTCCCAAACATTCTCCCTCTAAAGTTATATTTTCTCTTTGCTCCTTCTGTGCTCTGTTTCAAATTCAAAGAAAGGGAATTTAGGGTTTTAGGGTTATAATCAAGTGGAAGAGATCGAAATTGAGGGCACAAGTCACGTAATCACTTTATGCCAATTCCACCTTTCCTCTTTATTTATCGTCCCACAGAAAATATAAGGATAATATTTTCCGCCTTCTGTTCAGCAAGAAAATCTGTATATATAAATATGAGAACATTATTTTCATGGTATCTATTTGTAGTGTTCACAGATCCTCTTCAGTTGAGTTCTGAGCTTTTGCTTTCTTCATGCATGGCGCTGTCTCCTTCGGATTCCTTTAAACATCTTTTTTTTTTTGTTTCAGAAAACTATGCTCTTTACATATAAACACAGTCGTTGTTCGCTGCTGCAGCACCATCAAGATTCACATCTCTGCTGATGAACGATGGTGATTCAATCTCTCTCTCCTCTCTCTCTCTCCAAAGTTCTTCGGAAGCTGAGAATCTTGACGATGCTGCATCGGCTATGGACGGCTCTCTCTCCCTCTCTCCGAATATTCGTTGGATATCACTCCACGTTTGGTGGGTCTTTTCGTGAAAATTCGTTTATTTTTCCTTCGATTCGTGTATTCTATTGTATATAAGAGATCAGACAGAATCTTGGTGTGAGTTAGGTCATTCTTCAACCCATGAATTAGGAGTACCCTCCCGAATGAAAGTAGGATAGATTCTTGAATCGCTCGCTCGGGTTAGGTTAAAGCTTGTTAGATTGGAATTTTGCCATTTTGTTCATCATTCGTTAGGACAGTTCCGGGAAGTTGCTAGAACAAGACTGAACCCATTACTTTGATATGTTGTTAACTCTAGTAATAATGTTTGATTAGTGAAACATTAATGTTTGTGCAAATGTGTTATATATATATTTACATTTTTTTTATGAATGTATGCCATGGAAATGTGTGTGCCTCCATCACTGTCCAACCCCATATATATGGTCCTCTTGTTTTTTGCTCTAGTAATAAAAGTTGTACTTGTTGTCTCTAAAGCCAAAATCTTGATTGTTAGTTAATGATTTTTGTTAAAGAGAGTATATGATTAGCCATGTAGATATGGTTTAATTTGATTCTTGTTAGGGTTTTTGTTATAGTTTTATTTTGTTTCTCTTTGTATTTACCAAACACATTCTTCGTTTTTTTTAATCAATGAGACAAACTCTACTTCCTTAATTAGTTTCCTAAAGCAAAATTGAATTCCCCTTCCTTTTATTGGATCATCTCAAAATGCTTTTGTCCAATGACCACTTTCCATAAATGGAATAGAAATACTTTCCATAATGTACTCTTCCTGTCTTGTTTCTTACCAAACCGATTTCCCAAAATCTTACTTTCTGTTTTTGGAAACAACTCTTTCCACGAGATCTTCCGATGAATCTTTCCTGCGATGAACAATATAAATCTATTTAACATTTATATTGATTAGAGTAGGGGTGGGCAAAGATACCCGGATTTCGAGTACCTGACCCGACCCGGGAGTCGGGTACCCGAAAATTTGGGTATCCGAGCGAACGAGACATGACCGGGTATTAATATTGGAATATCCGAGTTTTCGAGTTCGGATTCGGAAAATGGTTATTATCTCACGGGTATCCTCGGATATCCGAATAATAAAAAATTATGTTTTAAAATTTAGTTTTTTTATTAGATTTTGTGTTATTTTATTTACTATTAATGATTATATAAATATTATTGGATACATTTATGATGTGTTTTTTAAAAATAAATTTATTTTAGATATAAATATAATTTAAATTTATTTTGAATGATTCTGAGTATGTATATGTAAATATATTTTAAAAAATTGATTGAAAATAATTACAAATATTCGGGTTCGGGTACTCTCGGATACCCGATTGGTTTTCGGATTTGGATATCCGATTTCATGGGTACGAGATCGGGTAATAAAACATATAATCCGAGATATTCGGGTTCAGGTTCAGGTACTCTCAAATTTTCGGATATCCGATCTGTGCCTAGAGAGCCAATGGACCGACCGCGGTTCAAATTATCCGTTGCAAACCTCTTTTTTTTTTACACATTATATAACTCTTGCAAGAACTCGATTTTGTTTCCCTAAGTCGTAGTGACTATCGTTTACTCCATTCACCTGTTGGGGCACCACTATAATATATTATTTATATTAATATAAAAATATAATAATTTTGAGGGTGGTAATTTTGTGAATATTATAAATTTGAATGAAAGTTTTATAATTTGATCTGGATTGTGGTGAATAAGGAGGACATGAACGAGCCCAAGATTGGGAATTGGTGTTTTGGAAGAAAAAAAAGGGGCTTATTCTTTCTTTGGGCTTATTTGTTTCTTGGCCCACTCACCAAAAGATTTATTAAAATGAGTAATTTCATAGAGACCCTTGAAGTTTTAAAAATGTAGATTTAGGTATCGTATTTATATTTGCTGTATTAGACACATAGATTTTTAGTGCCGAGGGTTTGAGTAATTTCATAGAAACCCTTGATAATGATGATTCATTAGTAATTACACCTCAAATTAAAAAAAAAAAATTAATTTAGGGGAAAAAATTTTAAAAATGAGGCGGCGCCTCATCTGGGAGCCAAAGAGACGGTGAAATCCACCGGTGGTTTCATATTCTCCGACCATTTCTCCGATTCCAAATACAGCTTTGAGATTTTCCCGGCGACACTTCCCATCTCCGGCCGCTTCTCCGGATCTTCCTCCACGCACTCCAGCGCCAATCTCGTCAGCTTCTCCACCACCGTAACCGGGAACGAATCCCCCAGCCTCCGATCCATCCACCTCCTCAGCCTCCCCTTTCTCTCGCCGTCTCCTCCATTGACCACCTCCGCCGCCGTCTCTATCACAGACGTCCGCTCGAAATTCCCGGTGGACCTGTCGAATCTGTACTTCAGCGGCTCCTCGCCGGAGAGCAGCTCGAGCATCGTCACCCCAAAGGCGTAGACGTCGGATTTCTGCGTCGCGATCCCCGTCAATTGAAATTCTGGCGACACGTATCCCCTCACTCCTTCGAACCTGAGCGCTCTGCTGTCTGATCGTTTCAGCTTACTCGATTCGTCTCTCTCTCGCGACATTTCGTCGGTTTCGCCGCAGAGCTGGGCGGTGCCGAAGTGGCAGATCTTCGCGTTGAAGTTGGGCTCCGTCACGATGAAGGCGGAGCTCTTGATGTGGTTGTGGACGAGGTTTCGGATCTTCAACCCGGTCTTGTTGTGGATGTAATCCAGGCCGTGGGCTAGATCGGCGGCGATTCGGATCCGCGAGATCCAACTTGAGAGGACGGTAAAATTAGGGTTCGTAGGGTTTCTGAGGCAATCCGCGAGGGTAGCTCCCTGGACGTACTCGTAGACTAGGTAGATGTGATCGCCTCCTTCTCCGCTGTCTCCGACAGATGACGGAGAGTCGGTCCCTGAGCTCGTCCATGGCGATTCTCCGCCTGAACTTCCTCTGGAACACCACGGCATCTTTCCCGCGCAGATTGCAGCGCCAGGACGCCGAGGAGGATGACGAGGAGAGACGGCGGGCGAGGAAATTGTTGGTGGCAGCGCGGATCTCGGCAACGTCGTAGATGTGAGGATTCTCCGGCAATGATTCCCGAAGACTGGCGAGGGAGGTCCTGCTCATAACCGAAGGCCGCGCCGGCCGCGGTGGAAGACGAGCTCGTCGACGCAGGCAGGGCTCGCGGCTGGTGACTGGGTGAAGCCGAGTCCCTCCTCGGCCGCGCTGGTGTAGGTTGGGAAGCGTTCGTCGCCATTTTCGATTTGCACATACGAATCCAAATCTTCACAATTCAGAATTCGAAATTCGGAAGAAAAAAAATGCTGAATCGGCGGAGACGCTGGTAATGTTTTTAATTCCAATTTCATTTGTTTAATGCTGTGATGATTAAATATTTCCGAATCGTTGCAGAATTTGTGATTCCATCGTAGAGAATCTTAAACCCTAAGCTAATACCAAAAACATCTAATCATTTTGCTTAATTCTTATTTAAAAACGAACGAAAAAATCCAAATGGAGATCGCATTGACCGATAAGCATGAATAATAATATGGTTGCGATCACAAACTTTACAGTCCGTGTTTCCACCTGCCTTTTCGTTTCACACGGGCGCGGGCACGTTACATTTGCTTACGTCACCGTCTCACAATCCCGTACATCACGTGGGTCACACAGACAGTCCTCACTCACAGCTTACTTCTGATTGGACTGTCACTGTAGGCATGTCACCGATGCAATCTCTTGTCTCTTCACCGTCCGATCCTCATCCTACGGTCCGAATTTCGCTTCTCATTAAAACTTGTCACTGCGCTTATTTACTTGGGAGTAACGTCATAATTGCGTCAGATATATAAATTCCTTTTTAATTAAAAATAGCGAAACAAGAGACGTTGGAACCCCCCCCCCCCCCCCCGGATTGCATTGAGAAAAGAAAAGGTCAGGATAGTTTACTAACGAGTTGTTATGCAATTAGATCTAAAATTTAATTAATTATATAAAATCACATGATTGCTTAAGTTTGTTTAAAAAATGATAAATATAGTAGCTTTTGATAAATTTCCTATTTTAACCCGTTGGACCAATTTTATTTTATTTTTACATTATGGTATGATTGTAAGCTATTCATTGTGGTTTAGTTAGGTTTTGAAAATATTTTAAACATATAATAAGATTTTGTTTAATAAACCCGCCTTCCTACGATTAAGACAGCCGTAAGAGCATTACGCAACCATTCCTCTCTCCCTCTTCATCTACACAGAAAACACGTCTCTTCCTCGCCGGAATTCCGACATCTCTTCCCTATCTCTCTCTCTCGCCGGCGAAATGTTGGTTCCATTGTCTCCGAGATCCAACATCCTCGTACCATTTCCAGGTACTTTGCCTCCAGAGAAATAAATAAAAAAACGAAATTATAATAAAAATCTATATTTTGTTTGTAGCAGCTGTGTGAAGTGTGTATCGAGTCCTCACCACTTCCCTCCGACTCATGTCCGTGCAAGAAACAAAAGACACCGGAGACTTTTAACGAGTTCGGTTACCGAGCAAGCTCGGGCCTACATCTCGGCCGGACGGTGCCGGCGAATCCACTAGAATATGGAAGAGACAGCGGAGAAGAGAGAAACACGGCGGCCGTCCACACCAAGGTTGGAGGCTCACCGAGAAACCCAAGAAAGAGAGAGTACCAGACACTCCCCGCTTTGGCCAAACCCCCGCCGGTCTGAGCTTCGCCGTCACCGGGAAGCACCACCGTCTTCTTCTCCCTTGCGATCGCCTCTGCAATCGCCCTTTTCCCTCCACCTCGAGCACCGTGTCGCGCCTCTTGTCAAAGTGACGGAAACCCTTAGGGTTTCATTAACCCTTTGTCGAAAACGCTGCGTATCGGTCAAATGGGCCGTTCCTTTTTCACCAACCGGGCCGCTGGGCCGAGCGGGCCCAACAATCTCCACCTTGGTGGAGAAAGGAACGAACACACATAATAAAAACAAACAATAATCACTAGTGGAATTCGCCGTTTCCAGCACCGATCGACTTTCGTCGACCCTTCGACTTTCGTCGGAATTTAAAGCGTAACTTACCTGACTTACCTCGCTTACCTGATGTCCCGGAGTTAGTCACATGTCGCTGCCTTTGAACCTGATGAAGCTCCCGTCGATGACTCCTCGTGGCCTCGTCGCCTTATCCCGCCACCGATCAGCTCATCTCTACCTGAAACACTCGGTAAACGTGTTAGAACGTTCACCCCGATAAGACTCGAACCGTAGTCCTATCCCGCGTTGCCCGACCGGCAAACGCTACCCTCGGTTGTATGACTCCCTAGACCGTCTAACTAATCCTCCTAGTAAAGTCCAAGACTATACCCGCTAGCTAACCCGAGGATTACACCCGACGTCTACCCGTCTCCTAAGTCTATCCCGACTTTTCCCGAGACTACCCCGAGTCATACTACCGAAACCTGCTAGATACCTAGCCCGGATCCCCGTGAAGTCCATACTACCTATAGGTATACGACTTCTACCCTCGGACTCTAACCTGCCGACTAGAATTGTCCCACGGTTTTGTCCCGCGAAGACTCTCCTAGTCATCTACGATGCTCCACCGAGAATAAGAGACACGTGAGTGCACGTGCTCCACCTCGAGAGGGAGTGTCCTAGCGCCAACCTACACCGACTCTACCCGGTGACCCGACACCTCCCAGCTCCCACCATCTCCTGAGCATCCTACCCGAGGAAGCTCCACCTAAATGTGGAGACCTCACCTCCTGACCTACCACCGAGAACCGAAGCATCTTCGGTTACTCCTCCGAGGTCAACGTCCTTCTACCTCGGACTCTCCCTACCTCGTCATCCGAGACCTACAACACCTTCTTGTAGTGTCCCTACCTACCCGCGAAACAACTCACTCCACCTGGTCCTTGGCCTACTCCTGCAACCCGATTTCTCGGGTTTTGCCCGAGACCCCTAGTCCTTCCACCATACCCCCTTTCGGGGTATACCGAGCTAGAATGTCTAACTCCATCATCCTAAGACGACAAAACCTGAGTCTAAAACCGACTCAAACCCGGAAGTGACTTAACCGACCCTAGGAGTGATGTAACATGACACAGGGATGAGACCGAACCCTAGAGGACTTAACCCTAGGTATATTTCTACCTAGCCGTGCTTAAACACGCTCCAACCCTAAGTCTATCGGACCTAAACCTAGGTACGTCTCTACCTAATCAGACCTACAAGACCTAGAGAACACGACCTGACCGGACTTAACCTAGGCACTCAACCTAAACCGATCTAGCGGACCTTAAACCAAGTCTAACCGGACAACACCCTAGGTACATCTTACCTAAACGGATCTAACACACTCTAGACCAGACCTGATTGGACTTAACACAAGGTATATTTCTACCTAACCGACCTCCTAGACTCTCGCACAAACCTGATTGGACTTACCCTAGGCATAATTTTGCCTAACCGACCTATTAGACTCGAAACACAGCCTACCTTAAGACATGATTACGTCTAACCAGACTTAACTTAAGGCTACACAGACCTGATTACGTCTAATCAGACCTACAATACCGAGTCTACATGGCCCCCAACACAGTCCTAACCAGTCCTACGATCCTAAGCTAGACTAACCCAAATTTGGCTAAACCAGACCTAAACAAGACCTAAATAGCACTTACAGACCTATATCAGACCTGTACCAGCCTATTTTAGTCTACCCAGACCTCTTACCCAGCTAAACGTCATCAAATCCAACCTATTCAGACCTTTACTGAACAGAAAAAACAGGAATCTATGACTCACATCAGCTAAACCGAGATCTAAACAGGTATATCCTTAGTATATTTCACTAAACCAAGCCAGATTTGACACTAGACCAACCTAACAAGGTAAACCGATCACTACAGACCTTAATCTACCCTAAACCAGTCCACTATGCCCAAAACCAGACACCATCAGACCTATATGGACCAACCTAACCCTAAACCAGTTAGTTGTAGTCCTAATTTCACACTCCAGACCTAAACCGCCTAATCTAGTCCTAAAGAACCACCAACTCAGGCCCTAACACGACCAATACCAGTCCTAACTAGATAAATCAGATCCTAACAGACATCTACCAGCCTAAAACCAATATGATCTTACCTAATAACGAACCCAATTGACCCATATGGTCTAATTATAGCCTAATTGGACGAACAGACCCTAACCTTAGACTTAAACCAGTCTAAACCGGCCTTAATTCACCTCCAATCAGACCCTATTGGTCTGAACCGAACAATTCTAGCCCTTCCCAGACAAATCAGACCCTAACCGAGACTTAAACCAGCCTAAACTAGTCTGAATTGCCCTAAACTGGACTCAATTGACCTAAACCGGACCTGAATTGGCCTAAACCGAACTCAATAGTCCTAAACCGGACCTAGATTGACCTGAACCGGTCTAAACCGGTCCAATTGACCCCAAACCGGACCTGAACCGGTCTGATTTGACCTAAACCGGTCAACTGTTGACCAAATTGGTCAATGGTTTGACCGAACCGGAGTGAACCGGTCTGAACCGGCCGGGACCGGGTCTGAGCCGGACTGAACCGGCCGGAATCCAGTCTGAACCGACGGAACCGGGTCAAACCCGATCTGACCGCCGATAACCGGACTTGGATCGAATCGAACCAGGTTCGATTGACCCAAATCGGGTTTAACCGAGAATTAGTTCGATTAAACCGGTCTTAACCGGTTTAATCCGAAACCCTAATTTCGGAAAACCCTAGCCGCCGAGTCACCCGAGTTGACTCGGTTGTTGACTCACCCGATTCCTCCACTCAAACCCTAACTCGGACGAGTCGGGACCGAGTTTCGCCGGAATCGAGTCTTCCTCCGCCGAGTTCACCGAGTTTCTTTGAAACTCGGTCTCAAAACCGGAGGAAAA